CACGCACACAGCCACGCGCTTTCGCATATCCGGAAGAAGTATACGCGTAACGACGTTGTCGACGGTGAGCAAGCCGTTGAGAAAATTCGTCCGAGATAATCAGGCGACTATCTCGTTTCCGCCGCCTACCTTTCCGAGTCGTTCAAGTCACAGGTCCCGCCGACCTCTCTCTCTTCAGCCTTGAACGACTTTTCCTCTTCTTTGCGCGCAAGGTCGCCCGCGGCGGCAGCTGATTTACTGCCGGCGCGCGCGCCGCTGACGCCGATCGAAGCGGCGTTCATAATCGCGCTCCCGTGTTAATTAACAGGCCTTCGAGTCTTTTGGAATGCGCTCCGAACAAGGAAAGAAAATACTAAATGGATAATGTTAAGTTAATGAAAAAGTGGAGTTGACGTTTCGATCATTTGTTTTCACTACCGATTTGCATATGATATAAAATTGTTAAGTTTTATCATTTTCTAACGTATCCGTTGAAGAATACAAATTTTATAAAAAGTTGTGCATCTTAGCGTATTCCAGTTTATGATTGTATTAACAGTTTTTCCAAGACTCTCGATCATAATATAAAAAATAGATAGTTTAACTAATTTAGAACTGTACTTTTTTCTCGCAAGAAAACCTCAGAGAAAGCTGTCGCGTATAGATTATTTTAATCAATAATGAAAAACGATATTACAATCTTTTTTACTATTTTTCTTAAATAGATGAGACGCAAGGCTGCTCCGAGCTTGGCGAATATCCTTGGCGAGAAACAAATGCGTCGTTCGTTCGGAGCCTGCTTTGGTTTAAACGTCGCGGAAAAATTCGCGCCTCGAGATTCTCTCGAGCGCGGGCTATGACAAAAAGGAACGGCGCACGGAGAAAAGTGCAACCAATAATTTTATTTTCCGCGATAAAGCACGGCGCTCGCGTGGCGTCGACGAAGCGCGGAGGTGGCGCGAGCCACCATGCTGAGGGGCACGGGATTGGGGTGCGACGGGGGCAAGCCGCGTATCTTTAGTAAGTAAACAGAGCGCCTTATGAATTTTAAGCAGCGCGACGAAGAGAGTACCAGCTCTCTCTGCAGCTCGCTTATTTTCCTCATCTCTCTTTCTCTCCCCTTCGCTCTTCCTCTCTTTCTCGCACTCCCTCCCCTCCTCCCCCTGTCACTCGTTTTCACTCGCTCTTTCTCCTTTGAGGCGACCTCTTATATGCACGAGCCGAGACGGTGAAGAAGGGCAACGTAATTTAGAAAAGTAGATGCGCCAAGATTGTGTAAGCGGCGTTCTTTTCCTTCGGCTTCGCGGTCAAAACACGAAGATGACGACGCAAGTAACGGGGTCGTTACTCGACAAGAGCGTTATACCGCTGTGTACTGTGTGTGTTATGTACATGTGTATTTATTAAAAGAGTTGGTAAATAGAGCACAAGTGGAACATTATGCTTGCATTAATTGCGCCCAAAAGTTATTTAATAAAATTTAATATAAAAGAAACATCTTTGTATGTAGAAATTACATTTTATGTTTTATAAACCTTATATTTTTTATTATGGAATATTCAAGAAACGTCCCGAAAGATGAAAAACCCGAGATCAATTAATATTCCTTCAGAGTTACTTGATGAATGATGAATCCATCCCTCTCTCAATTTCCAGGGCAATTCAGGGTACTTCGCGACTTCCCACGATCGTCGAAACCTACATCCAAAGTTCTTGTCGACCGAACTACTTTGCACGGAGAAAAAGAAGTATTCGCGCTGACAGAATCCGCTTGCGAGACATCGACAAAGCCCCGGGATTTGCGTCGTCTCGCGATTGTGGGCGGTCACGCGGCGTTGTTTTGATATTGATCTCCGGATAGGACAGCGTCGTCGTCTAAGCATTCTAATGGCAAGGGACCGGGATTCTGCGCGCTGCGAGGCGCACGTGCTCCTAATGATTTTAGTGTACCGTGGTATACCCTCTCTGGCAGTATATAGTATAGGCGGGCACGTATAGCCCACGTATCGTATCCGCGTTACCGGGGCGCGGTGTAATATGTCCCAGAGAAGCCCAGGGGAGTGGGCGACCAGAGGGGGTGGCTAGGCGGGGGTCCCTGGGACGGTCTTGCGGGATTCTTAATGGCGAAAGGCCTTCGAGGTAACACTACGGCTATTAAACGCAGACCCTACCACTCCGTCTTCTCCGCTCCGACATCCTCTCCTCATATACGCATCCCTTTTCACTCCCCCCCCCCCTCCTCTGCAGTCCACGATATAATTTCACATTTTGCGACGAAAATTTCGGTAAGATACTTATATAAGAACCCATTACTTGGAAAGATTCAACTTCTAAAACACTCTCGCGAATCGATTAGTCTGATTCTCTGACCTAATTTTATGAAGTTTCAAAAAATATGCATAATTATAGAATATATACTTCTACTTCTTACATATAGAATTATACTGCATTAATACTAATTAATACATTATTGATAACATATAATATTTAAAAAAGATTTCAAACATTTCTTTATCTTTCATCGTCAGGTAACAGAATAGTAATACAATATTTTAATTTAAAAATTTCTTGTTTCGAAAATATAAAGTATATTTTCAATGAAATAATTTTATGCGATTAATTTTTTTCAAAACAGTGTTTAATTTTATGAATAATTGAACATTTATATATAATTGTTTTTACTTGATTAAATTATTTAATTAAATATTTTTATATAAGTAAAATAATAACAAATGATTGCATTTTCTTCCCAGTCTAAATGTCTTATAATTGCTCAAGGCGTGAAAGTTATTTCAGCAGGACTGTTTAGATAGATTAGACTCATTTTTACAATCCTCAGTTGTTGAGTAACACGGATGCGCAGCTATTAATATAAACTCGAAGTATTCATTTTCTAAAGTTTGTACGATCAACAACTTTCGTAGTCGAGGTAACAAATTGCACAAACTAAATCTCAACTAATTAATCAAGTTTGTAAATAAATTACAAAACTTAAATCGCGAACCGTCGAGTCCGCGCGGGAGGGAAGGAAAAAAAATTGCGGACAGTAAAACGAGGCCGTGAGTAAAATTACAGTCACGCGTGAAAGATCGTTCGAGAGGAACGAGATTCGGGAGTGGCGTAACGTGGGGTGCTACGGGGGTAAGTAAGGAAAATGTAAGCCCGGATCAACCGCGCTCATCCCCTTTGGCGTCGGCGTTTGACGCGACCGCTGAAATTTTTACTTCGTTCGATTTGGTCTTTCGGTGAGATTCTCCCCGTCCTCTGATTGGTGGACCCTGGCCACGCCCTGCACGTAAGGGTGACTCGCTCGCCCGAGCACTATCAACCCTTATGTATGCCCGATGCGAGCACACTTATGTGCCGGTACGCGTACATATGTGTGTGCGTTTGTTTGCGTGTATATGTGTACGTGTATGCGGAGCCGCAGACTTCACGGATACATATGTGAATATATACATAGCCGATACATAGGCATAGGAACGTGTATACCGGGTGGGGTTCTGTTCGGGAGACGGCAGTGGGCTTTCGATACGACACGGTCGATCGAACGGTTCGTATTTTCGGTATCGAGGCGTTATCTCTCGGGAAAAGATAAGCGCGCATCACAGGATGCCTGAAAAATATTTCGACACCGTTTGGTGATGCCTATATAAGTATACATACGCGTACGCAACGATGCATAAACGAGAAGCATGATGGCGATAACATTGTGGAAATTGTCTAATTATTACATACTACTTAAAAAATTCAATTAATTCGGACAATAGAATAAAAGCTTTATATGTAGAACCAAAAGAATTGCCTTCTGCACATAATGATTACATTTGCATATAATGATTACATTTGCATAGTAGTATTAATTATAATAATTTAAAAAATAAATTAATAAGTCGATAATATGAGAAAGTGTTAATTTAGATAAAAATTCAATTTATCTTATATAGCAAATAAATTTCTGTACTTTACTATTTGTCTCTCCGATCTTCAAATATGTGCAATAATGTAATGTACAGCTAAGAGTAATGTTTCTCTAAAAAATTATTTATTCATTTAGGTACTCAACCAAATTTAAAATAACTGAATGATAAATCTGAGGCTGAAAACTTTGTATTGCCGTAGAGCAACCAGAACAGTGCGGGAAATTCGTGTAAATTACACGTTCGTTACCTTGAAAGTCTATTCAGACTAACAAGGCAAATTCCATTATTTTCACTTCTGGCTACTAAAGTAGGAAACCACTATAACTCGTAAATGTAACGTACCACAGGCAGCAATGATAATGATGTTAACGCACAAGCAATGATAATATATTACGCGGATGCATATACGCGTGATGTCGTGTTGTGTTCGCGTGTTTCGGCATGCATAGCATTCAAAATGAATTCTACATGCAAGAATGGGAAGCCCCTAGCATGCGATCTGGATCGCATGACTTAATTTTCGAGTATTCCCGCTCGACATTCGCTACGCTAAGTTTAGTCTCTCCGTATTTAATTACGTCGCGTATGCTGTCTCATTTATTGCCGCCATCCCACGTCAACCACGATATATTTAATATTTATGTGTTTCCACAATTACTCTATTGATTCGTTATAGATCTATCTACATTTGTGTGTGGTATTTCTCAAAATTAGATAGAATCATACTTACATGTATATAGTTGTCGCGACAAATATTTCTCAATTGTTATTATTAAAATCGATTTTAATAATAATTAAAATCCAAATAATTATTATACCAATTAAATATGATATCATAATTTTTAAGATCATAAGATTTTATTATAAAATTACTAAAAAATAGTAACTCCTTATTTGATCATTTTTATAACAATATTAAAATTTTATAGTTATTAATTTTGAATATCAACTCGTTATTGTCGATCAAATATGATGGTCAAAAATAAAATAATAAAAATATATGAGAAAATCCTACTTAGAATGCATAATTATTAGACACAAAATTTTCAATAAATTTTGTGCAAAAATATTATTTGAAATTAATTTTGTTTGTTACAGATTGTTAAATGAACTGAATGAGAAGAAACGTAGCTTCATCACGATGCTTCAACGCACGTATTATCACACACATTTGTGACCAAGAATATTTATAGTAAATATTGGTGAATAAAAAGAAAGTAGATGATATTCACTCACCATATCTTGTGTAATTGTGCAACTGTAATAAATGAATGTACTCACTGATCGTTGTATCAGCTAAAAACGCCTTCAGCTGTACCTGGAAAAATTAATAGGTAGATATTTTAATTATTATAAATTACCATGTACATTTTTTTATACATGTTCATTATTATTTATTTTTATAATAAATTGTGTAATCATTATAAAATTATAATAATTATTTAATAAATATTTAAAAAATACAAATTCTAATTCTTATAAATGTCATCATAGTTATATACACATGTTTAAATTATAAATAAATAATTGTACTTACTAATTAAAGTATTGGTGTTTGCAGATTCTATGGATTTCCACCTTGTCCTGTTCCACGTAACGACTCCGTCAAACATTCGTATACCTTTCATTTGTCCTAATTACACAGAATATAAAATTCAATAGAAACTATACGGATTATGATAATAATTATTATTATAATAATTATTATTAAGATGTACATACACAAAACAAAAACGCAAAACATACAAGATTGCATTGCACAAACTCAAAGCAAACAAATAAACGATTACTGTCGCGCAAAGATTTTCAGGTATGGACACATATACAATCAATAATTACATTTTATTCGATTCAATTCCGATAAGCTAAATTTTCAATATGCTATCTAATAAAAAGTGGCTTTTCAATCTTCTTCAGCAAACAAAAAGAGATTATTATGTTTATAATATCAAAATATACTCGAATTATAACCTATCTAAGTTTATGATCAAGTAAAACAATCAAAACATTGTTAATCGTGAATATCCGCAGTATGTAAACACATTTCGACAATCGCCTGTTACTCTAATCAACATTCCCAACAAAAACTTACTAGTTAAAACTTTTGATAAATATTTGCTTGATAAAACTCACACTTTATACGACACAGTACACGACGTAGAATTTGCACTCTGCGTTTCGAACGCGCGATAATACGTTAGCGAAGATCTCTACTCTATCGGTCGAAAAGAACTCTACTTTATCAATTGTCACGCATGTTACCATACTGACTGCAATTAGTTAGTTTCTCGATGCGCCACTTCGATTCGGGTCGCATTGAGTGTAACGGTTTTGCGTGTTACATCAGTCGCGTTTATTCATTTGAAAAAAGTGTGAATTTTGTTGAGTAATTTCTTATCGGGAGTTTTAACAAGTGAATTTTTATCGGGAGTGTCGATTAAAGTGACGGGCGCATTATTTATCGCGAGTGTTTGCGAATAATAACGTTTCGGCAAATGTCTGGCGGGCGTATCGTGAATTCAAACAGGTTACAGTAGAGATGGTAGAAATAAAACGCGGACCGCACACACAATCGAGAATCGCGTATATGTGATGGGTTGCAGTTACGGTGAGTCTATTTCGATGCTATAGACACACGCAAAATGATCTCTACGTTATTCAACAAAGTCGAAGAATGATATACTCTATTTATTAGATATAGCGTGCTAAAAGTTCAGCTTGTTAGAATCGGATAAATACCCGTCTGCGCGCGTTCGTTGAAACAGTCATTCGATACAAGTACAATTGAATCGACCATCAAATGTGTAAAGTAGTAATATCACCTATAATTATATGCATGGCCGCGTTGTGATACTGAGTATGGTTTATACATACGCGTTTTTGTTTTGTGTACCATCGTGATTTCGCTATGTAAATTCGTGATTTTCGCGTTGTTTAAAAAGTGTAGTGAAGTGAAGTGAAGTGAATAGATTTTCGTCTGATAATATGTGTAACCAAGTGTGTTTCCGGAATTCACCGATCTCTGATACAACTGATACGAAGCAATCTGAAACGGAATTTGGAGCAAATCGGGCAAACTGCAATCTTGGCATCTTAGCTGGTGAGTATAATTATTTATTATTTAAAGAAAGAAGATCTAAAATGATGGAAAATGAAAGTTATAATTGTGATAATATCAATTTTAAAACTATATGATGCTTATATCACTTTAATGTACATGAATTTTGCAAATCATGTATATTACCGCACTTGGGCGATACAAGTGAAGTTGATACAAGTAAAGTTGCCGTCAGATGGCGTATGCTTTACGACGCCCTCGCGGCACCGTGACGTTTTTCTTTCCACTCTGAAACATAGTTCGGAGTGGCGCTCGTGTTAGTGCTGTGAAAGCTTCAAAACAAAATTTTGTTTGGTGACAAGTTTACACATTTTTGACTGAAATGATCGAGGAGCACGACGAACGCGAAACAATATGCGATTCTGTGGTAAGTACAATATTTGTGAATACGAGAACGCTGATAGATTATCCGGAAAAGTATGTGAAAAGCGAGTACACGTTTATAACGATATTATAACCTCACTTTTAGAATTCACTAGTTGAAGGCTGTCGTTTGCCGGTCCGAATGCATGGCACGGACGATTGGCGTAAGTAAATTGCACGTGTATTGTTTTACTAGCGTCTTTCAGAATGTTCTATTACCAAAAAACGTTATTTTTTTGTTTTGCAAGATTCTGAAACTATATATTATTATATATATCTATATATATGCACCATAATTACCTTGGTATAGTTGATGTTACTTTATTATAAAAGACAATATAAAAATAATTTGAGAAGTATTTTTTTATTTTCTCTACAGCACTTGCTGAAATCATTAGTGTCAAAGATGTACAAGATGTCAAATGTTATTACGTTCACTATGTGGATTGTAAGTAAAATGTTTAGCATTTAAGTATATGAATTTTAAGTATTGACATCATAAACATTAATTGTTCTATTTTAGTTAATAAGCGACTGGATGAATGGGTTACGGAAGATTCTTTGGATACTAGAAAGGTCCAATATCCCCGTCGTGATGGAACGACACCGGGAACTGGTGCAGCAACACCAAAAAAGCAGGCTGTTAGCAGGCCTCCTAGTCCTAGCAGCGTTAGTAATGAACCAGTTAACGGTTCCGCCGTGCTTCAAGCTGCACTGCAGAAGAAAATGTCTAGAAAAAGAAAAGCAACATTTTTAGAAAATGAGGATTCTCAAGATGGTCCGCCACAAACACCAGGTCCCAGGCCGACTGGTTCCCTAGTAGCTCATCATCATGACGATATAGTCACGAGAATGAAAAACATAGAATTAATCGAATTAGGTCGTCATAGAATAAAACCTTGGTATTTTAGCCCTTATCCACAAGAGATGGTGAATTTATCTTGTATATACATCTGTGAATTCTGTCTGAAGTACAGAAAGAGTCGAAAATGTTTGGAGAGGCACTTAATCAAATGTAATTTACGGCATCCGCCCGGAAACGAAATATACAGAAAAGGATCTATATCGTTTTTCGAGATTGACGGCCGCAAGAATAAGAATTACGCACAAAATCTTTGTTTACTGGCAAAACTATTTTTGGATCACAAGACTCTCTATTATGATACTGATCCCTTTTTGTTCTACGTAATGACGGACTTTGACAGTAGAGGGTTTCACATAGTCGGCTATTTTTCAAAAGAGAAGGAGTCAACCGAGGATCACAACGTAGCGTGTATTCTTACACTGCCACCATATCAGAGAAGAGGTTATGGCAAACTATTGATAGAATTTTCATACGAGTTGTCAAAAATTTGAAGGAAAAACTGGTTCTCCGGAAAAGCCGCTGTCTGATTTGGGTTTGCTTTCGTACCGGAGCTACTGGGCACACACGATACTCGATATCCTTTTGAACATAAAGCCTGTAGTAGAAAACGAGAAACCACAGATAACAATAAGCGAGATTTCCGAGTTAACATCGATCAAGAAAGAAGATGTGATATCGACTCTGCAAAATTTGAATCTCATTAATTATTACAAGGGGCAATATATTGTAACATTAAATAGGTAAATTGATCGATTCAAGATGAATAGAAATGATGCAATTTTTACTTGGATTTAGTCTTATTTTCATTGTGTCTTTATTTGCAGGGATATTATCGGACAACACGCAGCTGCAATGGAAAAAAGGCAGATTAGGAAGATCCTAAGTGTCTACATTGGACACCAAAAGATTGGAGTGTTAGAGCCAAATGGTGAAGTGCGACTCGAATTGACAATAAAACGGTATCGAGTTGTCTTAGAATTATTTTCAGAAATCCCGGAAGTGACAGTTAATGAGTGTACAAAATTGTACATATATATATATATATATATTAATTTGTGACCCTCCAATGGTCTAGCGTTTTAATAAGACTGTATCTGGCATTGTGTACGCTTTTCGCAATGCTCTAGAAACTCGTCGACGCACGCAGATCTCGTTTGTAGAGAACGCTAAAATAGTACTGTGCGAATGTTCGCGAATTTTACCTGAAAAGATATTTACTGTAATGAAGTATACCTTAGAATCAGACATAATGTTTTAATACGATGGTTTAGCATTTTTTTTAAAGATACACAAACGACCACTGTTATTTAGCAGTGATCAGATTTGTACAGATAACTTGTCGGTCTTGTATAATTGTAAATAAATGTGATTTTATAATATACTTACAATTCCTCCACGGCTCAAGCGTATTCAAAACATTTTATAGAAAAATATTTGTATAGGCTCAATATATACTCAGATCGCTGTTTGTAATTCAATTTTTAGTATACAGAGACAAATGAAAACGTGCATCGTATCTACCATGTGTATGTAAATATGTACACATCTTTTCACATTGTTATTTATTGTACATTCTCCCGATAGAATTGAGATAAACTTAGATAGTTACGAATATTACAAATTGCCATGCGAATACGTTATAATTACGTATTAACGTATTTACGTTATTAACGTTAATTACGTATTAACGTATTTGTGAAAATTTATACAAAGCGTACAAGCGACCTTATTCCAAGAACGATTTCTAGTTGTTAAAAATAACATTTTTAGACAAAGACGAGCTGAACACTAATGATGATGTTAAGAATAATATTATGCAAAAGCATAATTTCGAGTCATTAAAATTGAATTGGATTAATTTACTAAATTCCTAGTATATTTGGATTATTGAATGCCGTCCGGGATTTATTTTTCATTTATGGCTTTAGCAAATTTGTATATTTCTTATTTCATTGTGTAGTATTACATATAAATTTGTAGATGAAAAGCGTCCTCAATATAAATTGATATTGATTACATTTTGTTGTGTAGAAAAAATTATAGTTACCAATAAATTTCATTTCACTTTGCCAATTTTTTTTGTTATTTCAAAATAGAATATCTCATATTGAATATTGCATAGTTTTTTTTTATATTCTCTATATGTTTCTTTTCTGTATACAAAGTTTTTTAACGAGAAAAATATTTTATTTTATAAAATTCTGAATGTTGTGTTTATGAAATTTGACAAGACATAAATTGTAGAAATATTGTTAGTCAACTTTTATTTTCAGTTAACCAAGTTAGAATACGATTTACTTGAATTTTACGACTAATACATACATTTTTATAGTAATAATTTTTTTATTTTACAAGATGACATTAAAATACTTTTCCCCGATCTGATTAAATGTTTGCGGCTTAAAAACTTAATGACAACTTGTCAATCAAAAATAAAGGTATAGCTATTAAAAAATTTTAGTTATTGACTTTTTTGTAATCATAATTATAACTGTACATATACTAGGTTATAATTATGATTACATATGTATATGTTATAACTGTACACAATAAGGAAGTTTGATAAGAAAAGAAAACTATTTTTGCGCTTCCTGCAAAGTGCAATAATGATCCACGCTAAATAAGACGTAGAGAAGAGAAATTCTCATTCTACGTGCAATTACATTCCATTACGCACTAACTTGATAAGGTTTACACGAACACACATGTAGAGAAGATCTAGCACAATACATTTTTATTGCCTATATTACATAATAGATCAGTCACGTTGTCATCTTTAAAAAATAGTTTGCTCGTACGAATATAAATTTACAATTTCACTTTCACAGATTCGCGACAGACTTTGTTTCGGTGAGCGAGGAGATAAAAGAAAACACTCTTTAGACACGACTTTAAATACAGCATCTTTTATGTATATATATATGTATATATATAGATATATTTTTTTTATATTCAACAGTAACATCACAGTAGCTTCATATACAATAAATCTTTGTTCATAATTTTCATCTGTCTTTTTGTATTCGTTACCACGTAAGCGCCACACGGCGAGTTCCTAAGATTCATCACGCGAACACGACGACAAGTGGGAAGGAAGAAACTCGTGTGTACACGCACTTTTCAATAATTATCAGGTCACAGTGATCTCATACCGATATGATCGCATGAAACTAGAAACGCTTTTTTTGATATTTCACGTAAATTCATTGATATCCGATAACCAGTCTATCATACGCAGTACTAACTTGGATCCACGTACACAACAATACGAGTATGATATATCAGGATAACAAATTATCAGTCGAATAATACATCATGGCGAAGCACGCGCACACACACACACACACACACACACACACACATACACAGACATATACACAAATATACAGACGATAAATCATTAATAGCGGAACAGATATTTCGCAAAACGAAGTAACATTGGGCTAATTGTAAACTAATATCGATCACTTGGAGATTTTCGTACAGAAAGGAATGTTCACAGAAAACGAGAACCACGACTTGTACTTTTGTTTATATTACTATGGATCCAGTGGAGTCGACATTGCTAACATTTTGCTTACTGGAGAAGTAAAGTTAGCACAAAAAAAGAATTTATTTTCTATTTAGGAGTGATTCTATCACATTTTATCTAAGCACCTCGCAAAAAGTTGAGGTCAAAATATTCTATGGAACTTTTAATATTATACAAGTGTGCGGAATTCAACTGAAAATTTATGATTCACCTATCGTCACAAATTGTGTCTCAGGACAAATTAATCTTAGGAAAAATTGTGTCGTAAAAAAAAAAAGTAGTGTAGTCGTAACTTCTCGTTCCTGCGCCTGTTTCACGACGTGCGTGCAATTGTGAGCGGACAATACATTTTCCTCTTAACAACAACGACAACAACAACAACAACGAGACGATGAAAAATACAATGGCAGCGGTATAATGTCGAGGAGGACAGCGAGTATTTAACAAGATTAGAATGACGACACATGCACGGCATCGCAACAATGCATTTATAGACTATCGCACGAATAACCAGATGCATTCCAGAGATTTCGAGAAGCGCTTAAGATTACGCACAACCCTCGTATATATCGCACGAAACGCAGCTCGTAATCGAGATTATTCTTAACCAAACGCACATTATCTTAATTTTAAGTAATACAGGAGCATGTCCATTTTTTGCATGTCATTATTACAAACTCCAGTGACTGCACATGCGGAGAGAGGAATCATTCAATTAATTTATTTATCATAATATACATTACACAAATAAAAACTGACGACCTACAATTATTTGAAAAATACTCCAATAGGATTTTGATTTGCTTGATTAGTAGGCCAACTAAAATCTCTCGAACATTATACAAGATACAACGGAATATTGTAACCGAAATCAGAACTGAGAAACTGATTAGGACCAGAAATTGATAAAAAAAAAAGGGAATTGAAAAAAGGGAACCAATTAAGACTCTTTGGTTTTAATTCTCTACGATTCCATTTGCCGGTGAATTACTTTCGTTACATAATCTTACGATCACTTTTCACCGTGTTACAAAATGTCACTTTTCACGACGCAATCTTTTTCCATCTTGTCAGAGGTCAGAAATCGACCATCCGTCTCAATGTGCGTCTAGAATTACTCTTGACTTACTCTACTCACTCGCCGGAGTCCGCTCACGTGGCGCACATTATATTTCGTTACAGTTTTTACTCGTCGCATTATATTACTTTCTCTCGCTCTCTCTTTCTCTCTCTCTCTCCCTCTTACTCTCTTCTTCTTTAGCGTGTGCACCTGTATGCCAGTGTGCGTGTGTTTATATTTTAATGTATATATGTATACGTATATATATATACATATATATATATATATGTATCTTTCTTATTTATTTTTGTGAATGCATGTACAGTTGAACAGTAGGCGGCAATGGCTGGACAGAATGGCGTTCGATGACATTTTTCTCAATTTTCTTTTTTGGGTGTTCTCGAAAGAGGGAGGGGGATTGTCATGCCTCGTGGCGCACGCGTATCCCCCTTTTTGCTTCGCATTTTGATCGACTAACGCCTGGACTGTCTTCAAGTACAGTAAAAAAAGTGTCGTTTTGTACATTAGCATACTCGCGGCGCGAGAGGAGGAAGAGTTATACACGACAGGCGTAAAGTTTGTACTGATTTATGGTATTTTTGAGCGAACTCGGGCGTAGGCTTAAAGCAGATCTTATCGCGTCTCAAGCAGAGATTACAGATGTATAATAAATCCGATATAATTTTAACGAGTTCAACCTTTGTTGAACGCTCAGATTATTTCCGCGTGCGTCTACAAATTTTAAATCTGAATTTATCTAAATTATATCGGCTTTACGGATATGTCATATACTGGGTAATCATAGCAAACGATTTCACACACAAATATAGACATTTACTAGTCGAATGTTTGCGGAATCAGCTGGAAAATATAATTCCTAATGATACGTAATTAATCGAGTGCGCGGATTGAATTGTTTAAAGCGCGGAATTATAGCACACGTCATATTACAAATATCGTTTTTAAATATGGCGTGTTTACTTTTCTTAATTTTATAAATATGTAAACTTTGGATTTATACATGTGATATTATAAGTTATTATAAAATCGTAATTATATTAATAAACGTAACAGATCTCAGTATTGCATGCAACCACATAACTGTTGTCTGCAAACTTTGAATTGAATACGCGCCGAGTTTCGCTCTGATTAATGTAACGCGCGATGAATGAGCTTACGACGCCTCGACATAGATTCGAGCACGTCATAAATACAATGACCAATCGAATACATTTCGATCACACACTAAACATATATGTTGACACACTGACGAAGTAGAATTTCGAGTTTTATCTGCTTTATGATTCGTTTTTTTTTTTTATTTTATCATGTATATCCTTCGTTTGCATCGCAAAATCCTACATAACTTTACAATAGAAAATCTTGCATTTTTACATATGCGATGGTGAACGAGACGAAGAAGTCTGTTTAAATTAAGCTTATTTTTCTGGAGATTCATGCTGTTAACAATCAATATCTCCAACAAATTGCTACTTAAATTAATTAGAAAAATAGCTGCTCTATAATTGCATTTGATATAATTACATTTCATTATTCTGTCACATGGAAATATTACAAAGAGCCTCTTTGCCTTGCATAAGGTGTTAATAACGAACCATGCAATACTCGAAACGAACAATCACATGAATCGATCTGGCATGCAACAATAATCGGTTTTCGTTAAATATTTCGAAACTCTACTTTCGTCCAGCCGCTTGCCTGAACAATAAGACACTTAACAGTTGGCTGCCTCCGCAGCGGGAGGAGACCGATTTTAACCCTCAACTGCTATGATTACATTTTGGATGAAATAACTATTACGGTGAGATCAATTTTGGACCTGATTAATAACTGATCGGAGTACAATTTTACCTTTCACCGTTACTGATCTATACATTGATGCCTTTATTTGACTTTTGCTATTACATTCACGATGAAGAGTGAAACATTAAATATTTAACAATAATTTTCAACAGTATTTAATCTATTAAATTATTAATAATAATTCTAAAACCCTTGCTGCAAGTAATTTCTTATTAAAATCTAGGAATTTTTACAAAATATCTAATTAGACAATATTTAAAGTATTATATAAAATTAACGCAAGTATCTCCGATACATGAAACATTTACACTAGGAAGAGAATTGAACTCACCGTAGTGGTTGAGGGTTAACGGCCTTTACCTTTATGCACGTTACATCGTAATATTACTTATTACGTATACAATAACATAATATACAGCGGGGGATCGGCGCTCGAAAACATTGTGTCGTAGTACGGGCGACCAATCGAGATCATGTAAAAATATTCCTTCCCTGAAATTCCGGGGAAGATCGATTTCAGAAAAGAATTTTCAGAAAAAAGCGATGTTCGTTCCGCATGTCAATGCGGATCGCGCTATTTCTTCCCCACTTTCCTCTTCCCCTTTCTATTTATTTATTTTCTTCTTTTGATATAGTTAGTTACTGAAGCGTTACTGGAACCAGGCCAGTCGAAATCTCGCTTGAGAGTCGCAAAAATTCGTGAAACCCGAACGAAAACTCTCGTTCTTCCGGAAATCCGTTCTCGCAATGGGGGAAGATCATCGATATGTCTCGTCTCTCCGTAGAACGGAAAGATCGGTAGTCCACGATCGTGCAATAAAAAATCGCGCGCATACAATCGAAGCGAGTGTCTCTCTGGAGACATCCGAACGGAAAAGAGGTACGCGCACTATCGCGCGATAGATTCTTTCTCCAGCCTGCCCCCGTGGATTTTAGAATCTCTGCCTTAGAGTATTTGAAGATATAAAATCTACGATAGAAAACAGAACAGACCTCGAATATATATATCTTTTTTTTTTTGGTTTTCCCCACATTCAACATCGATTCGCTTGTCGTTATCGTTATTATATTATTTCTCATTATTACTATTATCATTATTAATTTCATTATTATTGTTGTTACTCATTGTTTAGCGTTTTATTCTTATCGATACGTATGTATATTATATATATATATATATATATATATATATATATATATATATATATATATATATAGTAGT